AATTGTTCTGGAAGTTTGACAGGAACCTCCTGGGGTTGTAGGGTCTGTAATCATTTAATTCTCCCTCAATTTCCTCTCCATATATATATGTTTTTTTTTCAGCCGTCCCTTTAAGGCACTGGAAGGGTCACTCCGTTTAAGGATCTTCTTGGAGCGCGGCGGCCGCAGGGAACCGTAAACTTCGCGGGGCGCCTTCCCTAGCGCGCATCATCGGGGACCCCGCATGTCGTCTGTCTCCTCCAGCCGAGCTCCCGGCTCGCTGCCTCTTTACCCCACGTCGGTTCGGCGTATTTGCAGGATGCAAATCCTCCTGTGCCGAGCGACACCGGGTGGGACGGAAGTGTCCGACCGCGAGATCAGAAATTTAAAGCGTCCGCTGCTGTCTGGCTTTCTGCTTGGCCGGTAATTGCCCAACAGGAATGCAAAGAGAGTTTAATGAGTTTTTTTTTAATTATTCGATCAAAATAAGAAACGCGTTTTCTCGCTTTTGCAGTCACGGACGATGTAAGCGATATCGAAATGGCTATTAAGAGTGGAATGGTTATTAACGTTAGAAGTTTTGTGCAGAGATAACTGAGAATGTTTTTGTAATGTGCTTTTTTATGGATTTAATGATTGCAGCAGTTATGCCAATGTTAACATCTAGATTGGATCATAATCACAGAGACTTTTAGGTATTGGCCTGGGATCATTAACCTACCCTGTCCCAGGAGTTGTGCAAACCAGTAGTCCAGCCAACGTAGGTAACGATGCTGTCTTGGCACCCTACATTACTCTCTTCTGTGGAATCATGACTCTGCCACCAACCACCATACCCTTCACTTGTGTCTTCAAAGCACTAAGCCTGAATCATATTTGTTTACCTTTGCCCCCCCCCCAAGATACAGCAGTTCCCCAGTCCTGTAGTAGACGGACAGGAAAAAAATACGACAAAGCATTTTCTAATGAGAGGGTTAAGCCTTGTTCAGGAATGTGTGTGCGCATGAGCGCATGTTTGTGTGCCACATGGGAAGCACAGAAAATAAATTTGTTTATCAGAAGGGCAGGAGCCCAGTGCATATCAGTACAGGGCTCATCCATGTCTGCGATTGCCCAACAACAGTAAAGTTCCTTACTGTCGATCAGAGTGACTGGGCAGCTTCTGATGAGATACTCTGGACATATGTGGCAGGTATACTGTGGACAAACAAGGCAGGATTTTCATTAAAAACAACTTCAAAGGAGAATAAAGCTGATTGATGACCTCTTTGGGAAGAATCCCTGTCAATGTAAAAATGCAGACAGTGCTTATCAAGGAAAATAAAACATTTTTTTGAATATGTAGATTCCATTCATCCTGAAATCAGAAGTTTGCTAGTTCAAATCCCATGGTCGGCAGAATAGTCACATCGCTGTTGGGCCTCTGAGTAAAGCCCTTAACCCCCCTGAAAAATGCTGCAGGTGCATTGGATAAATGTGAAGACTAAAGAATTCCATTGTACCTGTACTCATACTGGTACAAATGTTAAAGAAAACATAATTTCACCTTGTAACCTCTCATCCTAGTCAAGGTTGCAGAGGAGGACGTGAAGCCTGTCCCAAGGAATGTAGGACAGGTTGAGGTATACCCTGGATGGAACGCCAGTCCATCACACACCATATAAATAAAAATAAATCTGTCAGCATAAAATATAGGTTTCTTTTTTCCTGTCATTACACTTTGCAAATCAGACGGATCATGCACAGAAAAGTTATCGATGCATGCTGCATTCCGGCCCCACCCACATGTGTATGGCGAAACACTGTGCACTTCGGATGTAAACGGCAAGCGAGCATTCAGAGTGTAATCTGTGGAGGTGATATTTAGCATGTAAATAAGGATGAGGCATACCGAGACTGAACCAGGCAGATAAAGGGTTAGCGCCTGCACGGCCCCACTGACCCTGTCCTGTTTTAAGCACCTTCGCAGCCAGCTGACTCACGCGTTTCCTTCTGCATGGGCCGGTAATCTCCAGACTTAGCACCCGGTTTGATGGAAATCCCCCCTGAGCATCCAGGTACGACTTTGGAGGCGGATTCGATGCCCCCGGAGACCTCTGCTCTCTCTCTCTGTCTCTCTATCTTTTTTAGAGGGTGAGCTCACACACTGGTGTTAGTCTTGCCTTACTGGGGGGTGGGGGGGGGGGGTGGTGACAGAAGCCTTTACTTCAGTAGTGGAACATGTGTTTGGGGGTCTAGGATGCACATACCCCCCGCACCTCCCCAGAGCCCACCCCCCCAGCATGCATAAAACAAGCTGAAGCGTCAGAAAGAGCCAGGAAGGAGGCAGCAGTGAATCCTACAGTATTTCCTGGTCCTTTAAACTTTTGGTGCTTCCTGCTCCTCTCTCTCTCTCTCTGTCTCTCTCTACCCAAGTGGGGAGATCTAGGTCCTGTGAAGATATTGGCGGGAGTAGGAGGGGATTGTGCCACGCGGCAGGGCGGAGAGAATAACCCGAGAGCACTCAGTCCGGGCCGGCTTCAGTTATTGATCCCTCTGATGTTTTAAAATAGAAGTGTTTATTTGGTGAGAGCGTGGGACACAACGTGGCGGTGCCAGATGGTCCCTGGAGTTATTTACGCTTACGTCTTTATGCAGTTTGTGATGCTTTGAGCATGGAGTACTTTTCATAGTGTTCATTTCACTGGGTTCTTTGTATCCGTTTGACGTAAGATAATAATGTATAATAATGATAAAAATTATGTATTAATGACTGAGTTAAGTGAAGGATTCCATTAATTAGCATCAGATTCCTTAAGGAGAGCTATGGGTCTAGCATTTTACACCCCCCGACCCGCAAGATGTTGATGTTGCTGTGGAAGTAGTCCGAAGGGAATGCCCAGTTGGATCAGTATACTTCCTTGTTGGCGGGGACCGATTGTTGCTACGTGGGCCTCATAAAGCCCACCTGCCGAGACCACCCCCCCCTCCCCACACACCCATGAAATTCAAAACAAGCCCTTCAGCAGTTGTCTGGTCATCTGTCGGTTCCTCATAAAATGTTTTTAAGGAGAGCGAGGTGAAGAAAACATCCAGCTTCAGCATCGAGCAAGAAAGAGACGAGGCTGCATTGATACTCTGAAATGTAACCTGCAGCTTCCGCTTTTTGGAAACATGATTCTGGTCATCTGGTCATTGCCTGAACCCTCCTGCATAAATATCTGGAGCTGGAAAAAAAAAACAAAAAAAACCTCAAGGCATTGTGATGAAAAGCTGTGCTTTATTTTACATTTTTTCAAAAAACAAATTGTTGACCCCTTTCTCACTGGTAGCGTCTTCATTAGATGCCTTGGAATAGAAAAACACGTGTTCATTTTCATTCCTCATATCTTTGCCTGAAGCTTTGAGGGTTGGATGAGCGTAACGAGGCAGACGAGGCCAAGCAAACGCCCCTTCCTGTATCGCCTTGCCTGTAATACTACTCGCTTTTGGTTGGGAATGCGTTTCATGTCCCAGTGCAAATGGCGCTCTGCTGACAGGGGGAGAAACCGCATGACGTCACGTTATTAGCAGGGCCATTTGCTCTGATGCAGCTACAGCACCTTTTATATATTTTTTTTTGGGGCGGTGCCAATCCCTTCTTAGAACCTCACATGACAGTCATGCTGCCTGACGCATCTGCCACGCAGCCGTCCTCCGAGCTGCTTTTAGCGTCCCCCTCTGGAGAGCTTTCAGATGGCGCTGTCCCGCTGAATGCCGAAGGTGTCCTGCCATATTCTGCTGCTATTTCCGGCCCGGGCGAATCCAGCCTCCTCAGATGTTTTTGTCTTGCACTCGTGCCGCCGCATCCACTGTCCTGATGCAGGCCACCATGTGTCAAACCACCAGGACCCCTTTATAGCATCCGATAACTCATCTGCTAATCCAGTTTTCTTTGCCATGCATTGTTAAAGGTATTGACTTCATCCAAGTCCCAGGAACCCTGTAGTTCTTCCGCGGTCTCTCGTCACCTCCATCCTCTCTCCTTCTAGCTCATTCTATGTTTCAACACTACATTAATATTTTTTTTGACCTTTTGCATACTGGGAGATCTGTGCACCATTGTTTTGTAGTTGAACAGTTGAACCTCTAAGACAATCGTACAGATCATCAGTTATCTGGAGAGGTGACTGAGAAGGCATGAAACGGTGTATAAAATAAGAAAGCATGTTACTGAATCCACTCCTCCATAAGGATGGGCTAAGCCAGCAGTAGATTAAACATTGCCTTTGTATCAAGGCTGTGACCTTTAAGACTTGGTTTGGGTGCAAAGCATGTCTTCGTATATCAGTCACAGACAAACTGCTCTGCCCTTCCTCTGTGGATGCAACTTAATATCAATACATAACACGGATATGCATGCTGGTTAACCAGAGAGTTGGTTACCTTTGAAAGCTATTTAATGCCACATAGCTAACAGTTACCAGCTATCCAGTAGTCAGTTCATCCCTTCCCTACAAATGTGGGTGTTAGCATTTAGCTGTAGATCTCTGTAGTGCGGGTCATGTTACTGCTGGAGCAGCCTTTGATGCGCTGTGATGCATTGCTACTTGAGGTTCCATGCATTTCCTGCATCTCTGCACACCCAAGTATAAAGGGAACCCTCAAAAAGCTTCAGGAATTGGCTACTTCTGAAAGCTCCCACAGATGTCTTCAGCCATATAATGCTCAGATAAAAAAAGCCAGGGCTAACTATAAAAATGTTACACTAATGAAGTAAAACATGAACCAATTCAGCTAAAAATATTAATGATTAACTCAAACGTTATGATAGAACTCATAATGAACTGGTGAATGTAAGGATTGTACATATGATGCTGATACTTCCAAGACACACCGCATAACAAGGGAAATTTAGAGATGCCAATCAACATATTCTGCATTTGGAAACCGGAAGTACCTGAAGGAAACCCACACAAACATGGGATAGGAAATGCAAACCCCACACACAGCTCTGGCTCACTCATCAATGCAATCTTTTCCTTGTTGGTTTTTCTTCGCAGGTGTGCGTCTTGACCGAGTGCGTGGAGGACGACAGAAGTACAAGCGCCGGATAGATGCTGAGAACAGTCCCTACTTGAACCCGCAGCTGGCCCTACCCCCCAAGAAGCCATGTAAGGCTGTTCTTCTCCATCGCTCTCTCCATGCCATCGGTAGACAGTGCCGGGGCCTGTGTCAGCCCGTATCTCTCCCCAGAACGGGCCGACACCAGCAGCTGTGTGGCAGGCTAAAATTAATCTGTCGATGTTAGCATTTCTGGGTTCGGTTCCCACGCTGTCGCTGTTAAACCTGCTGCATCACGAGCACAAATGCATTTGCTTACAGTACACTGCGAGTTTGCACCAGTAAAAATTCTAAAGAAACTGTTTATTATGTATATGTGTAGTAAAATAAAACTCCTTTCTCTCCCAGTACTGCCTTCTTCGTGTCAAAGTGAAAGGAAAACATTAGAAATTAATATTAAATGAACCTGCTTTGTTCCTGATCACGTTCATTTTTCATGGCAGTTCAGGGCAAAATAGTGTGACTGGAAAAAACATGATTAATTAATGCTTTTACTAACCAGACTAATCAGTAATCTTTTCCCATGTATTTAAAATGATTCAAACTTGATTTGTTAGCATTATTTTAATTTGAGCTTTATATTTTGAGCGAAGACCCTATTACCAGTATCCAGCCTGCCGACTCCTCACTTTTCTTTGATATTTTTTGCACATTCTGTTTTTTATGCCAGTCTGTGTGACCAGCACACTGCAGTCCAGCTGCCTATTAAGAAGAATCCCAGCCTGTTTTTCTGATCGATTATTAGCGTGAAAACAAAGGCTCCGAGATTGCTAGTTCAGCTGCATTGATTCTAATTAGGGAAACGTTAAATAAGATTTAGCAGAGATAGCATCCTACGTTCTGCTGTCCTGGAGTGGAGAGGAGGACACTTTGATCGATTCACTCCGGCCTTTGTCTCCTCTTCCACGGTTGGTATACGAGCAGATAGTGGGAGTTAATGCCTTTTAATTCGCTAATCGGTTGCTCCCTCCGGATATCCACCTCTGTCCTGGCTCCGCAGGGTCCAGGCGCTAGGACAGAGCTGTTAGGTTACGGCCTGCTGTGAAGTTGGATCACATTGTGAAAGATGATGAAGCAGCCGCAGTGGTTGGAGTAAAGGTTTCATTTTGCGGTGTTGTCAAAGGAGGGCATCTTAGGCTCACAGTGGGGCGGAATTATCCTGCCCTTTTCTAACTTTACTCAGAATTCAAACATTAAAGCACAAAGACATTTGACCGTACAAGGGAGAAGACACCTAGACCTCAGCAACGATTATAGCACAACTGCAGAGGCAGTTAGATCTGCCCTAAGCAGCTATGCGTAAACATCAGGGATTTTGTAAATATACAGATGGACGTTTCAGCTCAGTCGGCCCTCATACGACAGTCGGCAGAACTTCATGTCCCTGCTAATAGGATCTGACTCTGACTGTATGGCTCCATTCACACTCTCTGTTTCCTTCCTTGGAGTTGAACACAGTCTCTTCTGCCTGCCTCACAGATAACAAAGTCGTCTCCCACCTGCTGGTGGCAGAGCCGGAGAAGATCTATGCGATGCCCGACCCGACTGTCCCTGACAGTGACATCAAGGCCCTGACAACGCTCTGTGACCTGGCCGATCGGGAGCTGGTGGTCAATATTGGCTGGGCCAAGCACATCCCAGGTAGGTGCCTTCTCTGGTCCCATGTTCCTCTTGGAACATGCCCTAATGCTTTAGAACATTAGATTCAGCCACTGGAGTACGTTTAAGTCAAGTCAAATCAAGTAAAAATTTATTGTCATCTCAGCAATGTGCAATCCACACTGAAACAAAATAATATTCCTCATGAATATTAAGAAGGTCATGGCTCTGGGTAGATGGTTTAATGTTGTTCTGTGTCCATTTTCTGAGTCCTACCTTATAGTAGTCATGTTAGTAATCCCCAAAAAAACATTCTGGAACATTTCTTCATGGCCATAAATGTATTTCTCGTCCTAAGGTGCCGAATTTTCATCCTGAATGTGGCACAGTGATCTATCACTTTGCAGAATCCGCTCAGTGACAGAAATAGATAGAAACAGAATATCGATTTGTACGTTTAAACCACTGAAATCCAACAAAACCATGAGGCAACATCTCCAGAAGCAATACCTATTGTAATTTTCCGCTATGCGTAATATAAAATGCGAGGTGGCGTGTTGGCAAGGTCGCACTAATGACATTGACAGATAAGTCTAGTCTGATGGCAGTGGTGATGCTTCATTCTGAGGCACGTCCGGCTCCCTTCTGTGCTGCTGGACTTACATAAGGAGCAGCACTGGGGAAGGAGGTGACGGAAAGGAGAATGGTTTCGGGAAAAAGGTTCTGGAGTGAGACACTCAAGGCAGATTGAAGAGTGACAGCACATGGTGTTAAGCTTTGGGGTTTGGGCGCAGAGCTGGGTCGCTTTTCTCGCTTTTGCTTTTATTTTGCACGTTGGAAAGGGGGAGTGAGACCTAGGGCTCAAAGTGATCACTCCCCAGCTGTGTGACTGGCGCACGATGGTTCAGGTTTCTTCACCGCAGCAGTTCCAAAGGAATAATCCTTCGAGCAATTGCTAGACAATGGGTCAGTCCAGTGTCATTCTTCATCAAAAATTGGGATTTGTCACTTGCACAGAATAAAGAGGAGATTAAAGATGCTTCCCAGTCCTAATTCCCGTATTATTTACTAATTTACTTTGCCGCTAGCGTAATACTGAAAATACTACCACTAACCCCTAGTTGGAGTTATGTACGTATCACTGTTCTGTTTCCTCCTCAAAGACTGTAGTAATCCCTTAATGGAACTAATGAAGTCCGCATCTCGCGGAGCCGGGCGATCGCCGCCGTCACCCGCCACGCGGCCGGGAGTCGTGACAAACTGTCAGGCGCGAGCGCGGCGGCTAATTTGAAGCCATTAGGCGCGCAGGGCACGGGCAGCGATTCGTTACGGCGGCCGAGAGCACGGCTGACATGTCTGACTGCGCCCACTTAAGCCCCGTTCTGGCCGGGGAGCGGGGAAATTGTAAACTAATTTAAACATCACTCAGTATTACCGGGCTCGCTCTGTCACGGGAGGCGGGATAATGAAACGGTCCGTGTTTTTCCCGACCGCGGTTAAAATTCTTCATTTTTGCCAACGTTACTCCGTATTGAGAAAGTACTCTGGAAAATTAGACCATTTCGTGCATTTTTAAGCATTTTTCCATGCATATTGGTTTGCGTGTTTTTTTAAGCTATCATTTTATGGTCTCACAGGCGCCCTGAGCGATTCTGACATGGCGTCAGGTGAAATTCTACAGAGCTATGTGAACAAACCATCGCCTATAATGTTATATTACGGTGCTAAAATGTGAAATATGATGTTAAATACATGTGGGTGGCTAAGAAAGTTAACACAACTACACAAATTGGAGACTTTTGTTGGGTCTCATTGGCAAGATTAATAATTTCAGTCTGAAATTCTTACTGTAATAAGTCCAACATATCTGTGTGAAGGTAATGAAAAATGGCCAAACCGGAACATAAATATTTATCATGAGGAAAATAATAATAAAACGCTAGGACAGCGTATAGCTTACCTGTAAACAGACCGGAGATCTTTACCTATAAACGAAAGCAATTATCTTTTCTGCCCAGCTTCTTAGTAATGCAGTAAGTTTGACTTTGGAACCACAGCGGAAGTGACAGTGAGCAAACGGCACAGTCAGTTTCAGGGGTGTTTAGGGGTGACGCAGGGTTACCACAACGCTTTTGATGTAACTAATTTCAGATTTCTAATGGAATAATGTAGATTTTCCGTAAGATTTCTTGCGTGACCGCGAGAGTCTGAAAACGTGAGTGTCACTTCAGATGCGGGAGAGATGACGACGCTGCGTGTGGCGCGCGTATGTCTGCATTTTGGTTTCGCGCGTCTCTTTCGTAAAAACCCCTTCTAGCATCTGGAAAATGCAACCTCATTTTGAGATGCCCCTTCTTAAAGGAGAGACAGACAGGATACAAGATAGGCATGAGCTCTGTCTCTGACTATGGGGATGCTGGGACATTCCACTGGAGGTCCTGGCTGATCGAGTTTTTACTGGTCAAATCTACTGGAAAACAAGGAATTACAGCCTATGACACGGATTTTTGATTTAACTGTCATGGGGAAAATTCCTGGGAAGGAATCCTACTGAGATTCAAGATGTCAAAGAGTCTTGCTCTCCTTCTGGAGGATACAGCATTAATAGAATAAATTGTATACGGATAACAATAAATAAATAAAATATAGGTAATTTAATGAAAATGTAATGTTGTTAAAGGTGAGAATTCATGACATTGGATAAAATTGCCTACTCCATTGAAAACATTTTTATTTCAAGTGGTTTGATTTTCCCAGAATTAAAAATAAATCTTAATTAAAAAGTTAAACTTAATAGTTTGCAAAATATTTCACTTCTGCACTTCTGAAGTAGTTTCGAAGGACTTTCAGAGGCGTCAGTATTTGAAATGGAGTTTGAATTTTCAGTTTTAATTTGAAAGCGAAAGCGCCCCGATCCGCCGTCTAATCTGCGGCGATGCGCGGTTCAGCTCCACCTCACCGCGCCTCCCTTTCTGTACCCCGCCGGGCGATCTCTGAGTGTCCGCGACTCGTCACCGCCCGAGCTTGTCACCGCTGGAAATGCTGATTGATGTATGACCTAAGACGTCTTCGGCAAAGTAAATGCACGATCTATGTAAAGGCTTATATGCCAATATGCGTGGAAAGTCGGACGCTATATTAACTGCGGACGGGTGTGCGTTTTGCGGTGACAGGTATAGGTCTTCACGTATCACAGCGTTGTTGGAAGGGTAGGCTACGCAAAAAAAATAATTATTGAATTCTTCCGTGTTTTGAATCTTGCTAACATTTCTGCAGCATAATCTCACCACCTTGAACTGCTAGGTTGTATAACAATTTGGTAGAACATATTTTCGTTTTTTAATAAAGCCTCGTGGCTTAACAGACTCGTAGATGAACTGGCAGAAGTGTTCTCAGTATTTTTTATTTTTTTTACGTTTTTCAGTGCAATCGTAATAATAGGAGATGGGAGTTTCCATCAGTGCTTAGATGTTGAACAGACCCCCAGGGGTGGGATGGAGAGTGTACTTCTGGACTCTTCTTATTCCCCGCTTCCCCAGAGAGCATCCCCAGTGCTTGACATTTGAAGGGTCAGGACAGGGGGACTCTTTAACGCCTCTGACAGACATAGGCGCATTCACACGCAGGCCACTCTGTCAAGCCACCCTGAGTCATTGTGCCACGGTGGAGATGGGGGTGTCACACGGGCCTTGGAGTGTCACACTGAGTCAGCACCTTCATGTCTACGTGCCCTAGCCCCCCCAACCCCCATGCACCACGCTGCACGAGGATGGTCCGCTGTCATCACAGTGTTTGGACTCTATACAGTGATACATCTATGGTATTTTTGTTGCTAACAGTGTTGTGGTTGAAGGCTAATATTTGTAGAAAAAAAACAATTTGTATCTTGTGAGTTTCTATATCTAAATAGAGATGTGCATGCAAATAACCTAAATACATAAAGAAAAAGGCGTTAAAACGTACAGCCAAGTTGCATTTAGGACACTCATAAGAACTATGGTCTTAAAATTTAAAAAAAAAAAAATCTTAGACCTGAAACAGCTCTGGCCGCTGCTTGATTGGCCAGGACTGAAATTCATAGAGAAAATACACAATGCAAATCACTAAACAGGATATCTGTCTATGCAAGGCAGTGAAATCTTGACTTCCTAGGTCTCTTTGTATGGCAGCATCTGCAAAACAAATAGATATTGTCCCCTGTTCCCTTGTGTTGGTCCAGTTCTCTGACGATTCTCTATGCCACAGAGCGATTTCGTTAGGGCTTCCTTTCCTTGCTGGGGCACCTGCATATGACGTCATCTCAGCGGTACAGAGACTGGGAAGCATCTCTGTTCCCTGCAGAGGCTCAGCTATTCAGCGAAATGGAGCTTTTTCCGTGTTGTTTTTGGGACAGGCGCGTGCGACCGAGCTACACCTAGTTATTCCCGCGGTTGAGGGGCGACGTCGGCGATAACGACGTGCAGAAACAGGGCATTATCACATTTTTTCTCCTCTTCTTAGTTTGATTACATTTGTAAATCAAATCGATCCATCAGGCTGGAGTGAGTGGCGCGGTCTGTAGGCATAGTAATCTCCATCTAATAAAATGTAAATATGCCACATGGGTAAGTAACCGATAAATCAAGGCCGTGTGTTTGCCACTCATTAAATATCAGAATGAGCGGTCAAATTTTTTTTGTATTTTCAATTTTGCGAAGTGCTGCTGGTGCATAAAGATAGATAGATGTAATTATACAAACCAAACCCCATCCCTGCTCCTTCCGGCGCCACTGCCCATGTCATCCTGTCATCGGCTTTATCTCTGTTCGTTCGTGCGCAAGTTCCCTGAGAGGCACGCAGTGGCCAGCATAGCCCCACCACCTCCTCCTGGATACTCCGAGAGCAATAATAATACTCAGAGTAATAATAGTACTAGTTGGTCCTAAGTGTGCTGTTTATTATCTGTGTGCATAGGGTCACATGGACAACATGGGATGTAAATGTGTGTTTGTGTGCTGTTTAGGGGCCACAATATACAGTTAATTTATTCCCACCCAACCACT